AAATAGGTTAATTTATTTTCGGGGGGAACAGGTATTTATATTACACTAGTTGACCTGCGTAATATTAAATCACACTTTGTCTCAAAACGTTAAAAAGGTGTTACTTATAAATGTATTAGAACCTCATTTTGCTATATTATGTAACTTTTAAAAAAAGAACACAGAACACTAACTAAATTGTCATTCTGAGCTAATTCATTGGAGGGAAAATACAAGATCCTTTACATGAGTACAAAATATTTGTTTTATTTACAAAAGAACAAAAGGATAGTACAAACACACTTAGTTGGTATTTATGTGTTATTTTGATATATAAGCTATATTAGTGTAAAGTCTCATGAAAATCCGTTTAGTGGTTTTTGAATGAAAGAGTAACAAAAACACAAACTTTTGCGTTTATAATATTACTAAGATTTTACAATAGATGATGATGTAATGGTCCAGCCGCCAGCGCTAACGGTTTACGCTGCCTTAAAAAGTTGTTATATTAGAGGACTAACTCAAATTAACGGACCCTACCCTACCTTAGGTCTGTTCCGTCAAAACTTCAAAAATTTAACATGATTTCCTTAATGAACCGCGATGTAATCAGCAGTTTACGGTTTAATAACTGTTTACATAACCGTCATCTTTAGGTTATATATCACTCGGGGGGAACCGTGATTTATATTAACTAATTAAATTGTATAACATCACACTTAGTTTGTATTTATGTGTTATTTTGATATATAAGCTACATATATTAGTGTAAAGTTTCATGAAAATCCGTTTAGTGGTTTTTGAATGAAAGAGTAACAAAAACACAAACTTTCGCGTTTATACATAATATTACTAAGATTAAGATTTTACAATAGATGATAATGTAATGGTCCAGCCGCCAGCGCTAACGGTTTACGCTGCCAGGGCACCAGTGGAGGATAACAAAATGAGTGAGGTCAGGTCAGTTAGCCCATCGTGAATCGTACCAAAAATATAACATGCTGGTTTCCAGGATGAACCGCGTGGAGGTCAACCTGACATACCTACATAACTGACATATTTGTTTATAACGGTCGTAATGGTAAAATTAAAAAATATTAAGTTAATGGTAATAGATTTTTTTATATAAAATATGTCTATTCTGTTATAAATAAACATTAATTTCGTTTTATTTAATTTAATTTCAATAAACGTGACAGCTTTACAGTCAAGTATTTACATTTAAAAATAATACACATATACTTTCCATATACCACACAAATCACTTGAATATAGTACAACAGATAACTGTGACGACACATTCGTTACACTGTATCTCCTTATCATTAGAATAGGCGTACAAACAAATAGATGCCTTTACACGTACTGCCTTTCACGCGCGAATCGCCTTACACGCAGAAAAGTCTGTGCGTGTAAATGTAGACAGAGAACGAGAAAGACCGCGCGCGCTAACAGTGAGCGCATTCCGGCGTTCTCCAATGCCTTTACACGTACGGCCTTTCACGCGCGAATCGCCTTACACGCAGAAGAGTCTGTGCGTGTAAATGTAGACATAGAGAACGAGAAAGACCGCGCGCGCCAACAGTGAACACATTCCGGCGTTCTCCAATCGTACGTCACGTACGGCCTTTCACGCGCGAATCGCCTTACACGCAGAAAAGTCTGTGCATGTAAATCAGGGATGTTATGGATATGAAATTTCGGATACGGATAGGTTTCGGATATAGGAATGTTTATTATACCGGATACGGATACGGATGCGGATATGAAATTATTTCGGATTATCCGTTACTTTCGGATAATTTCGATTACGGATATATTTTTTTAAGGAATTTCAAAAGTAAAATACAAATAACTAATAATATGGTTACATAACGTGTCTCAATTAGGCTCCGCCCCTCTCCGATATTTTTTTATTTTATTACCGGCTTTTATTTTGGATTCGGTTACGGTTACGGATATTTTTTTATATCAGATATCCGATAGTTTCGGTTACGATTACGGATCTCCTTAACATCCATGATGTGATATATATCAGTTATTGATAATTTATAAATCTTAAATGTGTCTTTTGTTAAATCTTTGTTAAATAAAATGATAATAATCTATACATATAAATGAAATTGGAGTGTCCGTTTGTAATATTGAAATAACCGTTTTTTACTACATGCATATGAATACAAACACGGTACGTACACCAAAATAACATTTTTTACAATTTTTGTTTGTCTGTCTGTTTGTTCCGGCTAATCTCTGAAATGGCTGGACCGATTTTTACGGGACTTTTTTTGGCAGGTAGCTGATGTAATAAGAAGAACTTGGTTTGTTTTTATTTTAGAAAAATAAAGTTAATTTCCACGCGGACGAAGTCGCGAGAATAGCTAGTAAAATAATAAAATGCAATCACTCGCGATTGCGCGCGATGACTTTCCCGCGCTAAATCGCGCGCGCTGCTGATCGCGCGTGAAAGAACGCGACGTGTAAAGGCATCTATTATCATAGAGTTGACACACGCCACTGATAAGCAGTTATTTGACCAATAAATGCTAATTGATTAATTAATTAGGTGAGACCTTTGTGCGGCTGCGTCATTGGCACGCCCGATACCACTTAACCGACTTTAAAAAACGGCAACTTAACCGGGTTTGGATAAGCGGACCGAATTTCTTAATATATATATAGTATGAAGAACATCGGCTGCTTCTTATAAAATATTGACGAAGTGCAGAAGTTATTACCTCGGTGGTCTAGCGGTCTAGCACACCGCCTTACTTCCGATGGTCGCGGGTTCGATTCCTCGCACGGCACAAACATTTGTATTCATGAGTATGATTGTTTGTATCGGTCTGGGTATTTTCTATGTATACTATTATCTATTGTATCTACGAAAAAAAAAACATATCTATGTATTTGTATCAGTTGTCTAGTACCCATAAGACAAGAATTAGACTTTGGGTCTAGATGGCGCCATGTGAATTGTCCTGAGATTATTTATTTATTTATGATGGTATACATATATGTACGACATATAAACATTTTTTATAACCCGAATGCTTGCAATGATGGCTGGCTCATCCGTGTAATATTGTGTATATTTACAATATTACTATTTCATTTAAATTCAAATTTACTCAGCTCGTATTTTTTTTAATGTTGTACATATGTACAACATTAAAAAAAATACGAGCTGAGTTTCTTGTCAGTTCTTCTCATCTCGAAATCATTCTGAACTAACGGTAGATTTGACATATCATAAGAGTCTGTAATAGACCTACATAAATAAAGATATTTTGAATTTGAATTTGAAAGATTTCTTTGAGGATCAACAATCTCTTTTTAAGGCAATTCATTGATTCATATAATATCTATCAAAGAAAACATACAGACTATAAGAATGTTACATACAGGAATAAATCAATAGCAGAAAAGATTACTCAAGTCAACGCCATTAATATCGTTAATTCTGCTGTGTATAATTCCAACTTAATTTCTACATTCACGCTTTTGTCTAAGTCTAAATCCGCCTTTACACGCTGGACATGTATGCACAGTTGTTATATATTGTAAATCTAGTGACAGGTGTTCGTTAGTCTATCGTGTTGCTACGACGTAACTCCATCGATCAAATATTTGCATATATTTTCGTATTGATTGCAATACCGTCAAATATTACATCATAAGTGTAGTACAAATAAAAAAATCTTTACATTACTAATAGATATTTCCTGGTCAATAGTATGGCCCACAACCTATGTGACCAATTTCTTCACGGTTGAAAACTTCTATAATGGTTAAAGTAGTTGTATATGATTGACGAATTTAGACTCTGGGTCGCGGACTATTATAAAAAGTATCTTATATGCAACTATGACCTACGTGTAAACATTTTAGTTGGCCTGTACTTGTGAGATATTTTTGAAAAATAGGAGTAAATCATAAGTAACTAATAATAATAATAAAAGCCTTTATTTACTGTTAACATTACATTACAAATTTACAGCAGTAACTGCAGTCCTGTTAGCCTACAATTTTTTTTCCACACCTGAATGTCTACAGTCTGTCATGTGACATAGGCCTCCTACAAGTTATTAGGTTAATTTTGTCTCTTAGCTTAACACCGATAACACTTCTTTCTATTGAGTTTTGACATACTCTTAGTCTCTGCATATGTTTTTCTGTAGTACTCCAAGATTGGCACCCATATGTTAGACAGTTTTAAGTGAAGTGATAAAAAAAATAAATAAAGACATACCGTTGAAAGAAATCATAAGTAACTAAATAGGAGTAAATCAGTCCTAATGATTAGAGAAGTCGATGAGTATATTTTAGGAAGCTGTATGACTCAATGATATATTATTATCATTACATAGTATAAAACAAAGTCGCCGTCGCTGTCTGTCCGTCCCCATGTATGCTTATATCTTTAAAACTACGCAACGAATTTTGAAGCGGTTTTTTTTAAATAGATAGAGTGATTTTAGACGAAGGTTTATATGTATAATACATGTACACAAGGGCAAAGCCAGGGCGAGTAGTTAGTAATACATAATAGAGTAACAGTATATATAGTATAATAGAGTAAGTAATAATAAGTTATATTATCATAAAAAACCGATCGCAAATATATAGTGATACCTATAATTAAGAATAAATCTGGTGATGTATCAAATAAAAACAACTACAGACCCATCTCTCTAGCCACAGTTATCTCGAAGGTATTTGACGGCATGCTTAACTCTAGGTTGACTCAACATATAAAAATACATGACAATCAATTTGGCTTTCAAAAGGGATTGTCAACTGAAAATGCAGTGTTGTGTGTGAAGCATGCCGTCCGATATTATACTAATCGGAAAACGCCAGTCCATGCATGCTTTCTAGACCTGTCAAGAGCATTTGATCTGGTTTCTTATGATATTTTGTGGAAAAAGCTTGAGGAAATTAATTTGACACCAGATCTCATAAATATCCACAAATACTGGTATGCTAATCAGGCCAACAGCGTCCGATGGGCGGGTACCATGTCACAGTCATACAGATTGGAGTGTGGCGTGAGGCAAGGGGGGTTGTCGTCGCCGATACTTTTCAATCTGTATATTAATGAACTGATAGTTGCATTGGGTAGCACTCATGTCGGCTGTCATATAGACGTTGTAAATGTAAATAATATAAGTTATGCGGACGACATGGTGCTTCTGAGTGCGTCAGTATGTGGACTTAGAAGACTCATGGCTATCTGTGAGTCATATGCGCGTCGGCACGGTCTGGTTTATAATGCAATAAAAAGTAAAGTCGTGGTCTTCGAGGCCAGAGGCAATAATACAGATGTTTTTCCCGAAGTCAAACTCAATGGCATAGCGCTGGAAAGGGTGTATAAATTTAAATACTTGGGACATCTGTTGAACTCTGACCTTAGAGATGACGATGATATTGAACGAGAAAGGAGAGCGCTGGCGGTGAGGGCGAATATGATAGCGCACAGATTTGCGCGGTGCTCTAGGGATGTCAAGATCACTCTGTTTAGATCATTTTGTACATCCTTTTACACTTGCAATCTGTGGGCTGCATACACCCGAAAGTCCTACAGCGGGCTTCGCGTTCAGTATAACAACGCATTCAGGGTGTTGATGGGGCTGTCGCGATGCTGCAGTGCATCAGGGATGTTCGCGGAGTACCGTGTGGATTGTTTTTATGCTACAATGCGGAAAAGATGCGCATCCCTGGTGCGGAGGGTACGTGCCAGTACCAACAGCATCCTGAGCATGATTGCGGGGAGGCTGGACTGTGCATATATTAATCACTGCTGTACTATTTCTAATGGAATGGTACAGCGGTGATTTTTATACTGATTTATATGTGAATGTATTTTAATTTATATTTTAACTTAATTTAATATTAATTTTTGATATTATTTGTATTATTATTATTTTTGTGTGTGTATTTTGTGTCTGTAGTCTGTACGTACTAACATTAATTATAAGAAATCTGTAATACTAACAAAGTGGGCAATTAAGCCTGATAATAAATACATTATAATAATTATAATAAAAATATCGTTTGATTACATACATTAGGCATATTGATTAAAAAACCAAACGACTGAACCGATATTAATAAAATTTCTTAGAAACAGAACAGAAACTATATCCAATCAAGTAAAAAATATATTCCAAACAAAGAAAAAATACTAGAAAAGTATTTTTTTAGAAGTACAAAGGTGTGTTTATCTTTAAAAGATCGGTTTGTTCAGATGAAACAAACCGATGTACAAGATATTAAATCACATACGCAATGAACGTGTTATACAATACATTACCAAACATCTCGATATTTTGAACTGAATTATTTACCTGAAACAATAAATTCAAATCATTAAATATCTTAATTGTATCATCATTACATAGTATAAAACAAAGTGGTCGTCGCTGTCTGTCCTTTTTTTATGCTTAAATCTTTAAAATTACGCAACGGATTTTGAAGCGGTTTTCCAATAGATAGTGATTCAAGAGGAAGTTTTATATATATATAATACATGTACACCCGTGCGAAGCCGGTGCTTATAGCTAGTAAATTATAAATGAATAAATATTAGTATTTACTGAACATTTTGAACATTAAACATGTAAGAAATATAATAATATAAGAGAGTAACGGAAGCTTAAAGAGAATTGAATGTAACCATTCATTGAAACCACTTTTGTAATCGATTTCATTTTATTATTTATATTATTAACCGGGTCTTAACACGAACTAATTTTATGGCAAATAAAGGTATTTACCTCTCTCGACGTTTCGACTAGGTTGCACTAGCCGTGGTCACGAGCTGACTGGAGCAACAGCGATGTCAATGTAGATAGGTGACAGCAGTTTTTTCATCAACCGTCACTAGATTGTTCGTGTTAAGACCCGGTTAATAATATAAATAATGTATATTAAACACGAAAGTATAAAAATAACGATTTCATTTCAAATTAAACAATCTATCTAAATATATATAACTAAAAGGTAACTGACGTAGTGATCAGCACAGCCCAAACCACTGGACGGATCGGGCAGAAATTTGGCATGCAGGTAGATGTTATGACGTAGGCATCCGCTAAGAAAGGATTTTGATTAATTCTACCCCCAAGGGGATAAAATAGGGGATGAAAGTTTGTATGAAACTTTGTCAATTTTAAACCGATCGGCTGAGACTTTGTATGCCTAAGGTTACTATGACGTAGGCATCCCCTAAGAAAGGATTTTATAAATTCCACCCTTAAGGGGATAAATTAACGCTAGCGAAGCCGCGGGCAAAAGCTAGTACAGAATAAAGTTGCGCAATATTACAATGATACTGCTATTTTGGCTCCGAAACGAGTTTGCTCTTAAAAATATTTTTTCAAACATCAAAGCAAGTAGTTTAGGAGTGACAACTTTAGTATTCTAATAAAACGAGCCAATTGCGCGGTAACGATAGACTATATTTTTGTCTGAGCTATATGCTACTTACGTCAAAGAATCTCAGATTGAAACGTAACAGAAAAACATATCTACTTATGAAAGTCAAAACCAAATTTGGTCGATCAAAATTAAAATGCGACAATTTCCATACACCTTTTTTATTATACATCTTCATATTGTGTGTATAGAAATAGAAATGATCTTTATTAAAATAAACTCATCACAAGCACTTTTGAATAGTCATATTTTTTAGTCTACCACTCATTCGGAACGCAGATTCGTCACAAGAATGAGCAAGAAACTTGTGCAAGAAGCTCTGCATCTAACTTCATTATTCATTTCCAATTATATATAGATGTAATTGTCTATCATTTAGAAGCTCAACTACTCTGCGGAGCATCATCCTAGACAATGCTCCACTTACTCCTGTCCTTAGTGCGCATAATCCTGTACAAAAGAAGACCAATACGACCGAATGAGCTAAAGTCGTCGCAATTTCCTGGGGTAAAAACATTTAGTTGTTACTGAATCGAAAGAAGAATTGTCTATTGTAGCGTAGTAGAACATAGGCAGCTTCTTGAATCTCTTCTTGATGAAGTGCCGTGCAGAAGGTACAACCTAATAAATAAAAACTATTGCTACCGGTACACTCCTGGTTGCGTTGCAAACATCCTGTTTTTTTATAACACGGGGAACAAATGAGCATACGGCTCACCTGATGGTAAGTGATTACCGCCGACCATGAGCACCCGTAACGCCAGTAGAATTGCAAGTGCGTTGTCGGTCTTTTAAAAAGAAATAAGCTCTTTTCTTGAAGGTTTCAATATCGTATCAGCTCGGAAATACCATTGCTGGAAGGTGATTCCACAATGTGGTTGTGCGTGGCAAAAAGTTTCTAGAAAACCGTACTGTGGAGGACTGTACAGCACTATTGAATTGAAATGGATATTGTGATTAGATTCAAGACTAGCCCTATCGAATTTGAATCAATAACAGAGGTGGGAGCGGCAGCACTCCCATTGTGTCTGTTCACTATCGATTGCAGGTATTGTATAAGAATTTCCATATATTTTCCATATGCAGTATCTGTGTACCTAAGTCTGAATACTAACCCTAGTAGATTAGTTTAGGTAGCTGGTTGTAGTGAGATATAGCTGTAAAATTACTGGGCATTTTTTTATTGGGTGTTTGGGATATTGTCAGGTGCTCCTGTAACACTGCGATCTGTATAGATCTATTGTATAGCCCTTATTCAAAGTTACGCTACCTAGACCTGTGAGGGACAAGAATTGAAGAATATTCTTAGGAGCGATGGTTTTTATCTCCTCAGGATATAGTGTACACTTTCCAATGGAGATATTTCGTTTATGCACGAGAGAGCTACAACCACATAGAATGTGTGGCGTTCCCTCTTCTGCTTGGCAGAATCTGCAGATTCTTGTCGTGCATAGGCCTAGTTTTGCCATATGCTTGTTTAATTTGCAGTGTCCTGTGAGTGCCCTACTCATCATGCATATGTTGTTTTTACTCAATAGCAGTAGTCTATTGGAGTATTAGTTTGAGTAGCCCGATATTAGGGCTTTTGAATGTATCAATCCTGGCATTTCTTGCCAGTGCACAATATATTAGTATATCCAGTAAAGAGGCATAAGAACATAATTCACGAGGCATAAGAACATATCTTATGCCTCCTTACTAGGTAAGGTAGCTAGTAATTTTACTGCCATACATTACAGAAATTGTAAAGTATAAGAGTATTACGAGCGTTACATGATAGACAGATTTTTTTTCTTTTCACATACATACACATTTTATAATACAGTATAATTGAAAAAAGTGGAATATACATATAAAAAAAACAATCAGCGTTGCAAATTGAGCTGTAATTTTATGCTGAGTTGGTTGCTTGGTCTCCTTTGCGGTATATATAGCTAAGCTAAGTGTATGGAGGTTGTTTTCTTTGTATATTTACATTTTTTTATAATTATACATTACATTTTTTTATTTTTTCTTAAATTATGTTATCTACTTGTAATTGGTGAATAAAAATTTTATCTATCTATTATTATCTAGAATAAAATTTTATTTATTCTATCTATCTATAACAATTACCAGCCCATTGGTGAAATTAGCGATGTTGGTCGTATCTGTAAGCAACTGTTAAAATTTTCCATACGGCCAAACAGCTTGTTTCCATTTCCAGAAAAATAAAAATAATCTTCACGACTATTATACTTAATAGGGTAGTCAGGAATACTGATTAAAAAAAATAAACATACATATACCTACGTTCATAAAATACTAAAGGCAGTGATATTCAATCTGTAATCAGATCACACCGACAGACCGCGGAACTAGCCGCACTCGTATATATCGAGTTACACCTATATTGTTACACGTGTTTAACATTTGATTACGTTGTTATAATGTTGATATGATTTTAAATTGAATATTACGTAAGACTAAGTCGAGTTAGGGGTGTCCCAGATATCTGGCCGGCATGTAAGGACATACTGGTTGCAACTGAATTTGACAAGAATACGAGCTGTGTTTCTTGTCAGTTCTCAGCTCGAAAGCAATTGAACTGACGGTAGATTTGACATATCATAAGAGTTTGTAATAGATCTACATGAATAAAGTTATTTTGATTTTCGATTTATAACTTCGGCATTCCGTGTCACTCCGGTACAATGAACAATCATATAAAATCACTAGCTAACCCACGCATCTAAGTCTGAATCACACTTGACATTTATCATTATATTTACATATCTTTTTAAATTATACCCTATGTGTTATTCCGATGTATAAGCTATATTACTGTAGAGTTTCAATAGAATCAGTTCAATAGTTTTTATGTGAAAGAGTAACAAACAACCATCCATACTCACAAACTTTCACGTTTATAATATTAGTAAGATACAACAGCTGTCCCTCGCCCCTTATGAATTCTTACACTGGCTAACTTCCTTTATTCACTCACATTTCCGCCAGTTCCTTCTGTAGGCACTTAAATTTTTCTATAGGTATTCCGTGTATATATATTTATTTCAGGCATATGTGCCCATATTATAAATACCTTATAGACAAACATACATATAACTAACTAGCTGTTGCCCGCGTTAATTTATCCCCTTAGGGGTGGAATTTATCAAAGTCTCTTTCTTAGGGGATGCCTACGTTATAGTAGCTTTATGCATGCAAAGTCTCTGCCCGATCGGTTTGAAATTGACAAAGTTTCATATAAACTTTCATCCCCTATTTTATCCCCTTGGGGGTAGAATTAATCAAAATCCTTTCTTAGCGGATGCCTACGTCATAACATCTACTTGCATGCCAAATTTCAGCCCGATCCGTCCAGTGGTTTGGGCTGTGCGTTTATAGATCACTATGT